TTTTTTTTTTGACGCAAAGCGCCAAAGTTTTACTTATTAGTGTAATTCTAATGCATCTTTCACGTAAGAACATGATAAAATGATGAAAACTTGTGCTTGGATAAATGCTATTGCAAATTCTAGCCCTGAGAAAGCTACAATAAATGCTATAGGGAAGAATCCTAAAAAGAAGAATATAAATCCACTAGTCATAATATTGTAAGTGAAACCACTTAATATAGTTAAAAGAAGGTGACCTGATAGTATGTTTGCACCTAATCTTAGACCTAATGAAATATTACGCGCTAAGTATGAGATAAACTCAATTATAACCAGTAAAGGTAATAAAGCAATAGGTGTTCCAGCTGGAACAAATAAAGAAAAGAATTCTAATCCGTGTTTGTTTAAACCTAATAATGTTGCACCTAAAACTATTGTAAAACTAAGTGAGAATGTAAGTGCGAAATGACTAGTTGAAGCAAAACTGTATGGTACTAAACCTATTAAATTGTTCATTAAGATGAACACAAATAATGTGTACATTAATGGAAAGTATACTTGTCCATTTTTTGCATTTATTTGGTTTACAACAATTCCGTGTACTGTTGCGTAAATTGTTTCTTGGCTAATTGATCAGCTATTTGATACAACTTTATTGTTATTTGTTGCCATTAAATTTAACATTAATAATAGGTATCCCCCTATTGTTAAGTATAAACCAATGCTTGTTAAAGATATAGATAAATTTCCTAGTATAGGAGCATCTAGACTTAATAAATTTCTAATTTCAAATTGATCTAGTGGGCTTGTTATGTATAAAAGTGAGTTCATTAAATTAATATGTAAGATATATATTTAAAAAAGAATAAAGTAAAGGGTTTGTATAAAGTTTTAATAATAAAACCTCATCCTTCATACGCCTTCCACCTTATGGATGAAGGAGGAAGGTGGAAGAAGAAGTCGATGTTAAGGTATTATTAAAGTTTGCTTATAAATACACGTGTAGAGAATAAACGTACAAATCTTGGTAATACGTATTTTGAAAAAACGTATATAAGAGTAACAAGAACTGCAAATGCAAATGTTACTTCATTAACAAAATAAAATGGCACTAATTGAGGCATAGTTTAGATTAAAAAATTTTTTGTCATGACTATTTATATGACTAAATCAATTTACAGATTTGGAATTTAAAGGAAAGAAACGAAAAATAATTAGGATAGCATACCATTAATTTGTAAATTTAACGGCGGAGCCGGTAAATTTCTTTAGGAAATTCGTCTTCGATGTATTTCCACCCTAAGGGCGGAAATACTAGACCCGCTCATTGAAAGG